ATTGTAACCATGGCAATGAAACAATATACGATAGGATGAATGTAAAACTAATGTTCTCCCATGTAAACTATCACATAATTCACAATAAAACATTAAGGAAAAAAAATCAAATGACAAATTATATTAGGTAAATCTGCTGCAAAAGACCTCTTTATAAAGTCCTAAAGAACAAAGATGTCACTTTGAGGACTAAGGTGTGTCATCAGGCCAGGGTATTTTCAATCACCTCATACATATTTGAAACTTGGACAACGAATAAGGAAGACCAGAGAAGAACTGCCAAAAGAACACACACATCTGTGGTGAAAAAGTGAAACCAGAATGTTCCTTAGAAGCAAGGATGGCGAGACTTCATCTCTGATACTTTGACCAGTCCCTGGAAAAGGACATCATGCTTGGTAAAGTGTAGAGTCAGCAAAAGAGGAAGGCCCCCCCAACAAGATGGGCTGACATGGTGGCAGAAACAACGGGCTCAAGCCTAACAATTGTGAAGCTGACGCAGGACCGGACAGCGCTTCGTTCTGTTGTGCAGAGGGTCATTATGAGTCAGAATCAACTGGATGGCACCTAACAGCCACCACCATCTGGAAGTTACATCTCTCTCATTACATTTTGTAACTTCCCACCATCTTCTGCCTTAACTTACATCTGTGGTCAACTCACCTTCTCTACTGGGTTACATACGTGTTGGGGTCTGGGACTACAGGATCACCGGGCTCATCATGAGAGGTCCCACAAAGACTAATCCAGCCCCTTCTCCAGAAACAGAGGAAAAGGGGAAACTTGCTAAACTGAACTGGCACTCTAAAAGATTTTAAATTTGGAACAAAACTCAGAATCATAAAAAAGACCAGGATTCCTGGTCAGATAGACTCGTGGAAGCACAGAGATTATGGCTCTTAGTCCCCCGGCAGCTCTGGAACTGAACTCACCCCCAGGGCTCAATCTTCAGCCAAACAATACACAGGTCTAAAGGGGAACAGCACCACTAGGAAGTTCACACAGCTTAGAAAACTCAACTATTAGAGATCAGATGGACAGCACGTACCCAAAAATACAGTTCACAAGGGTTAAGAACAGCAACAAGAAACACAAAATACTAGAAAGATGCTTATGTGCTTTATTGACTATAAAAAGCATTTTACTATATGGATCATAACAAAGTGGGTAACACTGCAAAGAATAGGTATAATAGAATACTTAATTGTGCTCATGAGGAATCTGTCTATAGATCAAAAAGCAGGACAAATGATGTTAAATTATGTGGATTGAAATCAAAGACATGAAACAAAATATGTGTATATATATACATATATATACATGAATGGAAATCTGATCAACTCTGCAAATATTCACCCAATTCTCAAAAAAATTAAAACAAAAAGACTTTGAAAAAGTTTTTTTATGCATGAAAGATTAAGGGGGAGATAATACTACCACATCAGCTCCATTTAGGGAGTGTGAATTCTCCTGACAATGACTCCCTCTGGAGTCTTGGGAGCAGTATGCCTCCCAGTTTGCAAACACTGACACTGAAACTAGAGACACTCAATAATTTGCCTAAAGATACACAACTCTGGCATAGAGCAGAGCAGGGCGCCAACTCTGGCTACCTGACTCCCAAGGCCATCTCATGACCACCTCTCTAGGCTGACTCACTGCATGTGTGCACCATTGTCAATGCTACTGCCAACAGCAGCTAACATTTGGTAAGCTCTTTATACGTGGTCACTTTTTGGGGCCACTTAACAACAGAGAAAACTGAGGCCCAGAAAGATTCAATGAGTTGCCCAAGTTGCTCAGCTGGGATTTGTGCCCAGGTAGGCTCTTTGCCACCACACTGCCCCTTCTCTACACCACTTCACATGCACGGAAGAAACGGAGACTCACAGAGAGAAGGCTTAAAGTAACTCTCCAACTCAAAGACGGGCTGTTTGGGTTCCAGGCAATGCCAAAGGTTTTTGAGACTCCATCTTACCATTCACATACCTCAGTGTTCCAAAAGCAGCAGCAGTTAGGCACCAGACGTCACTGGGAGTCTCAACTGCATCAAGCCTTGGGACCAACCATTCCTCCTTGCTCTCTGGCCCCACTAACCCGTCTTCTTTTTCTTGAAATGTAACTCTCAGATTTAATGCTGGACATCTATACATTCCCAGATACCCTTACCTGGTAATGAATGACATGCTGGACTTCAGGAATATCCAGGCCCCGGGCTGCCACATCTGTTGCCAGGAGAACACAGCTGTGGCACAGAAAGTTCATTAATAATTATAAATAACAGGTATCAATAATCAAACTCCGACCACATACTGAAAGGAGCTCTGGTAGTGTAGTGATTATGAATCAGATTGCTAACCTCAGGGTCATCAGTTCAAAACTACCAGCTGTCCCACAGGAGAAAGATGAGGGTTTCTGCTCCTGTAAAGATTTACATCCTTGGAAACCCTCTATAGGGTGGCTATGAGTCGGAACTGACCCCATGGTACATAACCACCACCACCACCACCACCACCTACTGAGCACTCTAAATGTCCTATGGGATAATAATACCATATCTCCCTTTACAGATGAAAAACCAAGGGCTCAGAGATGAACAGTCATGACTATTAACCTGTGGAGCCTGGATTGAAACCTACATCTGACCGACCACAACCAACAGGCCACACACTGCAATCACAGACCACCTCAAGTGGACTAACAAAGGCCATAGTTATTCTGAGTCCAAAACCTCAGCTCCAGTCACCCTCCCACCTCCTTCCCTTCAGCCACATGGACATTCTCTTCACATATTCTGAGTCCATGACCTCAGCTCCAGTCACCCTCCTGCTTCGTTCCCTCCAGCCATATGGACGTTCTCCTCAAAAGTGCCAAGCGTGCTCTTTCCTCAAAGCCTCTTGCCTCAGATGCACCTCCTTACTTTCTTAAGCTCTATGCTTAAATGTCACCTCACCAGAGAAGCTATCTGCCAGCCAGGATCCTGCTCCATTTTTACTTCTTAGCCCCACTGGATCCACTCCAGACTTATTATCTCCCCTAGCTAGAACAGGCAGTCCTCTGTTGTATTCTCAGTGCTTGACTTATAATAGATACTCAATAAATATGTGTTGGGTCACAGTTTTTAAAGCACAGCTTGAGGCGAGTCAAAAGCACTTGTAGTGTTATCTTAAATTGTAAGCCTTTGGGCCCCCCAGCATCCACAGTTCCTATACCTGAGGTAGGACTGGGGATGTGAGGCAAACTAAGCTTTGCATAACATTAAACTCCTGCTCCATGGGGTCCTGGTGTGGCACTGTAACATAAACACTGGACTGCAAGCTCAGTTTGAACTGCAAAGTTGGTGGTTCAAACCTACCAGCTGCTCCTCGAAAACCCTATACAGGGTCAGTATGAGTCATAATCGACTCGACGGCACTTAACAACAACAACTATGCCAGCAAACTTTTTTGTCAGTAAAGGGTCAGAGAGAAAATACATTCAGGTTCGTGGATCACATCTTCTCTGTCGCAATTACTGAACTCTGCCAAGCCCTGCTCTAAGCTAATCTCAGTAAAGCCCTCAGGATGCCTACCAACATTCACATGGAGATACCCAGTCATGTGTTCTAGATATTCATCATCACCCTGTGTCCTGACAAAACACTGTGGGCAAACGCCACTTTACAGTCTTCCTCCACCTCCCAGGCTTGGGATGTGTCTTGACCATGTGCCTCCTGCTCCCTGAGGGTAGACCATAGGTCTGACTGACTTGTCTGAAGCCACCTAGCTCAGACACTTCCTGACTCCTGGGCAAGTCCACTTCTCAAGCCATCAGGTCCTCTATCTGTGCGCTGTAATGCTGAGAACCACGAGAGATGCTGGCAGTGAGAACAGTAACTATCCGAGCTAACATTGATCCATGAGCCAGTCACTGTTCTAAACACCTTCCAGACATGAATTCATAATCTTCTCCGGAGAAGATTAAATAGCAAAGCACCTTATATTACCCCTATTTCATGTTGTTGTTGTTGTTAAGTGCCGTCGAGTCGGTTTCGACCCATAGCGACCCTGAACAGGGTTTCCGAGGCTGTAAATCTTTACATGAGCAGATCGCTTCATCTTTCTCCCATGGAGCAGCTGGTAGTTTCGAACAGCAGACCTTGAGGTTTGCAGCCCGATTCGTAACCACTACGCGGTGACAAAAATGAAGGCACAGAGAAGTAAAGTAACTTGACCAGCTAGAAAGCGACGGAGCCAAGATCTGATCTCAAGCTGTCCAGTTCCAGGGTCTGTGGTGCTCATCACGATCGACTCTGCTTCTCCTCAAGGATGTCAGAATGACTGAAAGGTTAGTGGTTCAAGTCTACCCCAAAGCACCCCTGAAGAAAAGTGTGGCAACCGACTGTCAGAAAGGGAAACAATGAAAACCCTCTGGAGCACAGCTGTACCCTGACGCTCACAGGGTCTCACTCACTGGCACTTGTGGCAGCACTCTCTAACATGGATGTGTCTGTCGGCCATTAGCAGCAAATGCAAACTCAGGGTGAGCTTTCCTAGTCTGCTGTGAGAAAGGCTACCTTCTACCAACAAGGTCCTCGTGACGAAGACACTTTCCACAGTCTTCCCTCCCTCTTGCCCACCTTAGCCCAGGAGATAGGGGCTGGGCTTCTAGGGACAGGGCTGACTCACTCTTGCAGGTGAGCAAACTGCTCCAGATTTCGCAGCCTCTGCTTCTGGTGCATGCAGGCGTGTAGGGTCAGCGGCATGATGTCCAGGACTTTGAGGAGCCCCGAGAGGCGTTTGATGCAGGAAATGCTGTTGGCAAACACTAAAGTGCGCCCCGGATGCTGCATCAGGAAGTAGTACAGGTAGAGGTCTTTCTCCTCCGTCTCACAATGGATCTTGGTCTCCATCAGCGTCTCCACTGTGGCCTCACGCCTTGTGAGGTCGATGATCTTGGGCCTGGCCCGCAGACCAATCTTCTGCACGAGGACGCCAAGCTTAGCAGTTTTGTCTATTTTCTTGGTGTGTTTCTTATGCAGGATTCGAGCAGGAGCTTGATGCACCAGGGTCAGGGTGGCAGAAAAAACAAGCGTCTGTCTCTCTGGGTTGTACTGAGACTCACTAAGCATCTCCATGAGCTGCGAGAGCTCAGCAAAATGGCCCTTCTCAATCATGCGGTCAGCCTCATCCACCACCAGGCACCTGCAGATCGAGAGAGACACACATCATCAGAGAATGCCACCCACCCCCACAGCTCCACAACACACAGGCACAAACCCCACCACAGCCTCAATTCGTCTCTCTCGTGCATACTTGGTTTTCTGCTGTCTCACCGTGGCTCTGACAGCAGGCAGGCAGTACACACACTTCTATGTCACCTCAGGTCTGCCTCACACCGAAGGCCAGGAGGGAAAGGAGAGGGGACTCTCACCGCAGTTGCCGAAGGTTACTCAAATGAGGGTGCTTCTCCTTAATCAGCTCCCACAGCCGGCCTGGAGTGGCGATCACCATCTCGGGCTGGCGGTTCAACATCCTCTGCTGTTTCTGTGCGGACATCCCACCAACCAAAATCGCCGTTTTAATTCCTATGTCACACAAAAGACAACGGGCACTGGAATTAGCCTGGCTACTTACTGATTCATTTTTAGTTTTTCTTATTTTCGGTGAAGGTTTACACTTCGACACAAGTTGCTCAGCGAGACTGACTGCGTCCTTCACAGTGTGTGGAGACTCTCATTAATTCCATGCTGGCTGCTCCACTGCCATCCATCTTCCCCTCTGTCCCCTTCCCCTCTCCCCTCTGTCCCTCTAGCTTCTCTGTCCCCTTCCATTCTCACTTTTGATCTGAAGTAACTGTTGACTGCTTAGTCTCAGATAGACGAATGTCAAAATGGAGCACAGAACATTCAGGCGACATTCATCAGCCTCTGAGCCCATCTGTATTTCTCTACAAGGTGACCTCAGGGGTTAGGTACAACTCAAAGTTTGAATAATATCTCATGGTAATAGTCTTGGGAAGTCCTTCAGTCTCAACCAGTAAAACGGCTTTGTGTTGTTTTCTTAGGAATGTGAGCTCTGGTCCACACTTTCTCGCACTGTTAGGGTCCATCTATTATGACCCTGGTGAGAATGGTCAGTAGTGGTAGTTAGGCACCATCTAGTTCTCTGCTGCAGTTAGCTTCTTACATGGCTGCCACCAGAGCCCCCAGGTCCACAGCTCCTGTGACAGGAGGGTGTCATTCCCAGAAGGCTTACCAAGTCTTCTGTAATCTGGGGCCCTGCCTGCTTCCCCAACCTCTTTTACTTCTTCCTTCCAACCAGAACAGAAGGCCTGTGTTCAAGTCCACACATGCTTGCCTCCACAGCCTTGGAAATGTGTAGTTGGGGTGCCCACAGAGCTGAGAGTGATGTTCCTGGTTGTTGGGTGGCACACTTCTCCTAGAAAGTCTCCCCATTCTCCAGACCTGGAGCTAGTCTGGGTCTCCTCTGGTACTCTCCTCTCCTCATGATTACCCAGTGTGGATCAAGCATGAAAACAGCACTGCTCAGATACAGTAAGAGCTCGATACAAATTGTTGCTTTTATTACAAAAATAAAATTCCCACTGAACAGTCTTTGCAAAAAAGGGATGCCCTGTGAGCATGAAGTTGCAATGCTCTACGGCAAGAACTGCCCATTTTTTTTCTTACAGCATTGAGCAATAAACTTTTTTGGCCTTACAGGCCAGAGGGTCTGTAACAACTACTAACTCACCTCAGCTCTGATTTTGTAATACACAGGCAGCCAAAAGAAATATGCAAATGCAAAATTGCATTTATAAAAACCGGCAACGTACCAAACCCCACCCTACGCATCCCTTATACCCAATAAAGAACTCATTCTCTATGCTTCTAGAATAGCACTGGCCAGCTAGCTTTGGAAAACTGAAAAGTAGCCACTGAGGTCATGTCTCTAGAACTTCACTGTCTGGAGAGAAAGAAACCTGAGCGGACAGGAGGCACAGTCCATGCATCCCTGCCACCTAGAATCTCAGGTGCTCTCAAACCCTCACCTGTAAACCACAGTCCCCGCATCCCTGCCACCCAGCATCTCGGGTGCTCTCAGGAACCACATTATAGGCAGAGCTAACTCTCACCTGTAAACCTGGCCACGGCATCAATGTGCTGTTTGACCTGGATGGCCAGCTCTCGAGTGGGGGTCAGAACCAGTCCCAGTAGAGGACGCTTTGAGTGCTCTTTACAGGTGGCAATTCTGCCATTTGCCTCTTTGTGGAACTCTCTAGTCTGCTCTTCACTGAGGTTTTCCTCTTCATCCTCGTCCTGTTTGGAGACAGGCTTCTTGGTGAGGGAAGAAGGTCCCTCACCAGCATCATCATCACAGAAGAGTGCCACTTGGTCAGAGACCGTAGGCTGCATCTTAGCTCTGGCTTTGTGGGGTGAGGCTCCAGCCTCAGCTCCAACTCCAGTGGACGCTGCTTCACTCTCAACTCCAGTCTCATCAGGCAACATCCCAGACTCGGTTCCAGCCTTGCCTGGTGATCCAGTCTCGGCTCTGGCCTCTCCAGGTGGCTTGCCAGCATTGCTTGGAGTTGGAGAAGATTTCCTCTTGTGCCACTCCAGCACTGTATGAATCATTGGAATGGCAAAGGCAAGGGTTTTCCCACTTCCTTAGAAGTAAAAAAAAAAAAAAAAAAAAAAAAGTGAATCCACAGATACATAGACTTCTGTCTAGGGCTCTGTCTTCTGCATAGAATAGTTATTGTGGTTAAGTGTTATCAAGTTGTATTGAACCTTGTGGTTCTACAGTCCAGCACATCAACCCAGAGCCACCCCAGCCACCCCACAGCTCCTCCACCCTACACAAGTTTCCCCGTAGCGCTGCAGCTGTATTTTGGGCCTGGGGAGAAGTCTGGCCAACTCATGTCTACCTACAGACTGGCACTGAAGTCAGAGGTCATCAATGATGAGCTAAAGACAAATACCTGAGCAAGAAAACCAAAAAGGGATACAGACAAAATTGTGTGTGTATGTGCTTCTATTTCTACTGTTGTTGGTAAGTGCCATCAAGTCTCTTCCGACTCAGTGACTCTGAGGAGAGGCTGGTTGAGACTGCAATGCCAAGTTTGTGGCTCACAGTCCAATGTTGACCCTACAGTGCCACAACAAGAAGCGTAACTGTGCATCTGGGAGTGGAGTGTGAATCTATGAAATACTTTCCCAGGACACTTATGAAAAGAAAAATTCACGTTGCAGATCTGTGTTGCTCATTTGCTTCCTTTAAACCTATGTGTAGGATATGACAAACCATCTAAAAGGTGGGAAAGCCAAGACCAAACACAAACACAGACAAGCTGATTCTAAGTCATAGCTACTGAGCAGAGCTGCTCCATAGAGCTTTCCTGGTTCTAAGCTGCAGGAAAGCAGACCCCCAGGCCTTTCCTGGTGGTACTGCTAGGTCCCTTCAAACTGACCACCTTTAGGTTAGTAGTTTAAGGACAAACCAGGTGTGCCACCCAGGGACCTTTGAATGGTGGCAGTTGTTGTTAAGTGCAGCTGAGTCAGTTCTGACTCATAGCAACCCTATAAAGGGTTCCCAAGGAGCGGTTGGTGAGTTTGTACCACCAACCCTATAAAGGGTTCCCAAGGAGTGGTTGGTGAGTTTGTACCACCAACCTTGAGGTTAATGAATGCTTATCCTACTCTGGTAGCATAGTGGTTAC